TGACGGATTTTCCAACCGGTGATTTTTCTTCGCTGTACACTAATAATTATAGTCGCTTGTCGTAGCCCCCTGACATTCTCTTGCTGGGTTGTTGAACGTGGAAGGAACACGTGCTCTATGTGCGAGTAATGATACCCCTTCCCACCCCACCCAACCCCACGTTATAGCTATGGTATGGTTTTTAACGGGCGGGCTGCCCCCAACCCCTCCCTGTTATAGGTATGGTATGGGTTTCAACTAGTCGGGCTGCCCCTAACCCCTCCCCGTTATAGGTATGGTATAGTTTTCAACTAGTCGGGCTGTCCCCAACCCCTTCCTGTTATAGGTATGGTATAGTTTTTACCTCGTCGGGCTGCCCCCAACCCCTCCCCGTTCTAGGTATGGTATAGTTTTTACCTCGTCGGGCTGTCCCCAACCCCTCCCCGTTATAGGTATGGTATAGTTTTTACCTCGTCGGGGGCGTAGTCGGGTGACACTTGTACTGCTGCTGTCTGCTATCTCCCTACTGCTGCCGTCAGTAAACCGCTGCGACGTGTTATCTGTGTTTCTGACATGCGATGACGACGCCGCGTAATTTCGTGCAGGCATCTATTGCGGACCGGTTCCGCCACGCCGCAACGCTGACATCGTTAAGGCGACGAACGTGACCTACAGAGGCGTCGCCACCTACCACTGCAAGACAAACCACGTCTTCAACGACGGCAGCATCACGAAGGAGGGCCGCTGTCAGGAGACGGGCGTCTGGGAGGACGTCGACAACTGCATTCCGTTCGCAAACTGCGCGCCGGCGCCGGCGATCGCCAACGGACGCGCTCTGGCGGTGTACGACAACGGTACAGCCGCGTCGTCGATCATCCGCTACGAATGTGACCCGGGGTTCAACCTCGCTGGTATTCCCGTCGTCCGCTGCCTGCCGAACGGTCGCTGGTCGTCGGCACCGCCTGCGTGTCAGGGCGCTCAGTGCGCCAACCCACCACTGATAGCTAACGGTCGGCTGGCGCATGCTCCGCCGTACTACACTGGAGAGACGATCGCGGTCGTCTGCGACGGCGGCTACGTCGGCAGCGGCGCCCTCTCGTGTCGCGACGACCGCGTGTTTTCCGAGGCGCCGCGCTGCGTCGACGTTGACGAGTGTCGGCAGCGCGGCTCTTCGTGCGATCCGGCGACGACGACGTGCGTGAATGCCGACGGCGCGCACGAGTGCCGCTGCCTGCACGGTCTCTCCCCGGAGCTCGCCTGCCGACCGTACGGCACCTACCTCAACGTCGGCAGCTCCGATCCTAACCGCGTGTTCGTGTCCGGCAGCGACGGAGTGCACACGAAGCTCGACTTTGGGTTGAACGCGACGTACGGCTGGTGCGCGCAGGAACAGAACGCAGGTCGGCAGTGGATCACCATCGATCTGAAAGCGCCGACAGTCGTCGAGGGTGTCGTGCTAAGGTCGGGCGTCCGACGCGACGGCGCCGTCGGCCACGTGACGCTCTTCTCGCTCGACTACAGCGACGACAACGTCGACTTTCGGCCGTTCGTCAACGAGTCGACGGGGCAGCAATACATTGTAGTTGGCCTGATAGACGGTGACGACAGCCAGCCGATACGCCTACCGGAGGTATTCGAGGGTCGCTATGTGCGGCTCGTCATAGAGCAGTACAACGCCTTCCCCTGCCTGAGACTTGACTACATCGGATGCAGGAAGGCCAGTTGCACCGGTGAGTAGCAGCGACACCCCCTCCATCCACCGTGTGATTTCATCCGCCATTCGCAGTGTTGATCTGTCTATTTGATAACTTTCAGCAAGCTGATAACGTTGTGTCTGTGTGTTCATGCAGGTGTACGCGGGAGAGGACGACGTGTCCGGTCAAGCCATCCACGAGGGCGATGGCTTCACGGGTAGTCTGCCGCCGCAGGTGCTGCTCTTTTCCAACACGGGCTCGTTCTTCGTCAAGTTCACGGCCGATGCGACGCGTAACGGTCTAGGCTTCAGCATCGTGTTCTCAGTCGGTGAGTTTACTGCCTGTGTTAACCTTGTCTTACGTTAGGTCTACGTGTACGTCCCATCTACGTAACGAATCATTGTCAGCGTACGCGTCGTCGTCGTCAAGCCCATAATCGTCATCGTCCTATCTACGTAACGAATCATTGTCATCGTCATCGTCGTTGACAACCTCATAATCGCCATCGTGCTATCAACGTAACGAATCATCGTCATCGTCGTCAACCTCATAATCGTCATCATCCTATCTACGTAACGAATCATCGTCATCGTCTTCGTCGTCAATCTGATAATCGTCATTGTCTTATCTACGTAACAAATCATCGTCGTCGTCGTCTTCAACATCATAATCGTTATCGTCCTATCTACGTAACGAATTATCATCGTCGTCGTTAACCTCATAATCGTCATCATCTTATCTACGTAACGAATCATCGTCATCGTCCTCGTCGTCAACCTCATAATCGTAATCGTTTGTCCTATCTACGTAACAAATCATCGTCGTCGTCGTCGGCGTCTTCAACGTCATAATCGTCATCGTCCTATCTACGTAACGAATCATCATCATCGTCGGCAACCTCATAATCCTTATCGTCCTCGTCAACCTCATAATCGTCATCGTCCTATCCACGTAACGAACCATCGTCAACGTCATAATCGTCATCATCATCATCATCATCTCTTCGCAGACTGCCCGCCGCTGAAGCTCTACCCTAACCACCGCGTAACGACACTGGAGAAGCGTCTGTTCACTTTCGTCGGTATTGGCTGTGCGCCAGGTTTCCACTTGAGCACGGGGCCGACTGTGATGGTCACCCAGTGTCAACCTGGGGGCCAGTGGAACGTCACTGATGTCCCGCCGTGCGAAGGTTGGTCAATTATAGATAATTAGTGATGACCTACTATCTATCTATCATTACTGTCACTGTGTGTGTGACTGCGCAATGCCACGCACGAATCCGTGTACCTATAGACACACGCGCGCGCACGCACGCACTCACGCACGCTCGCACGCACGCACGCACGCACGCACGCACGCACGCACGCACGCACGCACGCACGCACGCACACACACACACACACACACACACA